TTTTTCCGCGTTGGTAAGTCTCTTTTCTCCCTATTTCAATCGTGGAAACTTTTAAAGCTTATATCTTTGTTAATCCAAAACTTAACAGTTTGGAGGTGGTTTCATTGAGTTTCTCATAAAATTCACTTCAAGTATCACTTCTTAAATTTGAAAATGTGACGGAATGAACATAAAAATGTTTACTTTTATTGTTATTCAAAAATTTCATGTCCGATCTCTCTCGGTAGCTCTCTTACTGTGCGGCGGACGGATTTTGACTTGAGTCGCCGCTAAGTACATTTTAATGGTTTCGTTTTCACGCGGTCACTTCGTCGTTCTGCTGACAAACAAAAGGGCGTAACTTCGTCGAGAGATGAGCTTTATTCTACTGAACTAAAGAAATCATCTAACATTCTGACGTTGCCAAATTTCCCTCGATAAAATACACATTTTTAGGAAAATGTATACATATTTTCCCTCCGACTTTTCCGAGGATTTCATCAGAAATTAATTTACAATATGTGAAAATTTCAAGGAAAAATATCCATATTTGTCCTATAAAAATTAATCTTTCATAGAGGAGAAATTTGGCAGGCAGGGCCGGATCAAGGGAATGGCCACATGGGCCACGGTCCATGGCGGCAAAATGTAGGGGGCGGCAAATTTTGCAATCTTTTTGACTGTAGGTATTAAAAAAAGAGAGAGAAAAATCGAATTCGGAAAATAAATTATAAACGAGAAAAGGCGACAAAATCTCTCATTTCCTGAGAGTAAAAGTATAGTAATTTCTAATTTTGTCGTCTTTCGGTGATACAATACACAACACCTTTAAATAGTCTAGTCAAGAGAGAAACCAAACACGCAATTTGACCTGGAACGGAGCGGCGGCGCGGCGCGGCGGCGCGACATGAAGCGCATAGCGCCTACAAGACTGCATGAATACTTCACGCATTGCGCTAACACAGTGCGGTCGGCGCAGCGCGGAAGTTAAAATTATCAATCACACTTATGTTTGTTCTTTCATAATTTTTTCGTTCGTTTTTTATAAATGGAAGGCCTTGTCCAAACAGGGATGGGTTTACGGAACTGAAATTTTGTTAGCGTTGACAGGGCTTTCACAAAAAATGCACCCAACACGAGTAAACGCGTCTCATACAACCCACCCCCACCGACACGTTCATTTGATGGTTTTCATAGATCGTATTCGACAGATCACACAGGTGAGATTATATTGATATCGATTGGTTCAATTTGTAACCACAGCCTCAAAAGTCAATCTAGAAATTTGAGGTAACGGGTCTTATGTGATCGAATTTTACGGCGTTCTTCCTTAGCACGTCAGCATCGTCCATAGACTATTTGGACTATATGTGTAATTAGGAACTACAATTTCTGGCTCAATTAAGAAACAGCGTATGTGCCGCAAGTTTCCCTACGCAAGTAGGCGCTTGTATGGCTGAACCAGAAATTCTAATTTCTAATTGCAAAATGTGGTCCATTAGCTCTCCGCACCAACAGGGCAAGAAATGAAGATACGCTCTTACGTCAGAAAAGCGGTGTTATTTAACAGCCCCCGCAAAGTGTTTTTCCGAGTAAAATGTAAAATGTAACGCACATCTCATCGGTTCCAGCGAAAATTAGCCCTCGCGGAGAGGACGTTGTCGAAACGACGTATCCTCCATGAATTTTTCATCAGAGTTGGGTGGTTCCTGCCGAGGAGGACCGAGATGCTGACTTGTTTGGAGCAGGAGCCGAACAATTGCGATGTGTTTATTGTAAAAGGAACTATGTGTATAGGGTTTGCGTGTAGCATAGTTCCTTTTGGCGTGAACGTCCAATTGAGACGGCGGCGTAATGGGCGACCGTGTGTGATTGCGTGATCGTCCGTGACACTGAGGAGGCCACGATCCGCGAATAATTACGTTTCGTTACGCGCCGTGAATTGGAAATCGTCCGCATAGCGTAGCGTCGCGACGCCGACGTGAGATGAACTGACGCCAATTTGGATGATCCGTCGCCGCCGCTGCTGTTTCCCCGCGCTTGCATTTCCGCTTCGAATTTCGCCGCTGCGGTTACTGTTTTGCTCGCAGAGAAGAACTGCCGTGCTAAGGAAGAACGCCGTATGGACATTCGAGAGTTGCCAAATTTCCCGGATAAAACATGCATTTTTGACGAAATTAATGCATATTTTTCCTTGAAATTTTCGGATGTTTCAGACTAAAGCGTGAACAAAATAGTCTGAAAAATTGGAAGAACAATATTTAGAGAAATTTATACTTTATCAGAGGAAATTTGGCAACGCCTGAAGGTGCATACGGCGTTCTTCCTTAGCACTGCAGAGAAACAGATGATTTTTGCACTGAAATGATGCAATTTCCTGCTGCTTGCTTGAAGTGGATGGATGATTCGAGTGGATCATCCATTTGCGATGGATATTTTAAATAGAGTTGTCGCAAAACTTTTGCTGGTGCTGAGAGGAGAGTTCTGTCATGCTAAAGAAAAACGCCGTATGAGCCTTCAAACGTTGCTACGTTCCCTTCGATAAAAACCGAATTTATTGGGAATATTGAGAATATTCTTTTCCAAAAATTTCAGACAATTTTGTACGCAATTTTATCTAAAATATCTGGGAATTTCAAAGGAAAATGTGAATGAATGTCGTTAAAAATACATGTTTTATCTAGGGAACTTTGGCAACTCTCGAATTTTCACACGACGTTCTTCCTTAGAACGGTAGAGTTCCCTTCAACGTTAAATCGATTGAAAACCATGATGAGCTAACTGTAACAGTCTGAAATTAACTGATTATGTTACAATGGGACTGCATTTTGAAATATCGAACTACTACAAAATGTTTTATTTTAGAAACAATTATGCAATCATATTTAGATGACGGAGAGTGACAAATAAGACCAAAGCGAATCGCTATTCAATGCAAATAGTCAGTCATGTACTTAGCCAGCTTACTGCTTCTTTAGATGGCTTGCTCTTCATCTTAAACTTTGTTTTTCCAAAAAATATGGAGGTCATCACGTAATTGAAGTGATAGAGAGATTTTGTAGAAAAATGTTAATTATACCGGCTGATGGAAACAGCATGTAGATATATACTTACAACAGACATAGAATCGTGTTCAGATGGTTAGATCTCAAACATCGTCCACAAAAGAAAAACAAATTACTTTCGATCACCCGGTCCCTACATTCAACACATCGACGTTTGAAAAACACAGACCTATTCGATCGCGTTAAAGTGCATTCCATGAAAGTCAATTAACAACAATTCCAACGGACCATAATTAGAGCAGTCATACCTAACCCTCTAGTATTTAGCTTGATTTTTTGCGTTCACAACTTTCACTTTATTTCAAACGCTTTTAAAAATATTTCTTCCATCGCGCTTAAAATCTGTGACGCTTGATAGCGTGATCGAGCAATGCGATCGAGAGAAAACTTCGATCCAACTTTAGAACTTTCAACAATTTGGAGGAGGCGAACCCGACGAAGCGAAACCGAAGCGCGGCGCACCAAGAAAAAACCACGTATCGTCCATACAGGTTTCATTGTTGTTGCGATGTTTTGCTCAGCAGCGTTATTCGCGTTACTACAAGCACCGTTTAATGCGGAATTGGTCGACCGTTGATGAAAAAAATAGATTGACTCTCATGAGCACGGTTTTTATGTTTGCCTTATCTCACTCTCTCGCTCTCTCTCTACTCCATTGCATTTTTATCCCTTCCTCGTCTCTTTCCTTTTTCAAAATGAATATTAGTGCGTTTTGATGAAACAATTAGACGCAGCTTCCAGTAGCGTTTCGGAGACAGGTGAAAACTTCCACTTTCCACGGTAGCCTTTTTTTGTTTGTTTTTGGTATTAAATCATAATTATATCGAAGCGGAATACGTCAAAAACAACGCACGTCTTAGGGAGTTACCATGCTGCTTGCGGTCTTTCAAAAGAAAGCTCCTTAATATAATATGTAAACATTTCTTTCGCGCGTTAAAGTCTCCGAATTTCAAATGGACGTATATCTGCCAAACCGAACTGTGTGTATTATAACGTGAGCCCTTTCATACATATATTCTTTTGGGTCTCAGGGTTCATGTCTTAATGCACATAGTTCCGTTTGACAGATATACGTCCAAATGAACCTCATTTCTCAATCAGGAGCTCCCAATTCAAGCTCATTCACAAAAACACGTATCTGCACATGGAAATTGATGACACATAAGTTGTTTCTAAAAGGAGGTGGTCCAAATGAACAATAATCGAAATGAAAAATTCCTCACTGTTACAAAACTTTTGTTTTGTACTCCAGTTACAAAAATAGTTGAAAGATCGTTCCCTTAAGAAAAATTGATTAGATATTTTCATAAAAGTCGTATTTTATTCCAAAAAATTGATGAGTTTTTTTTGAATAGTTGGACGTATTTAAATAAAAAAGAATCAATATTACGTTCTGACATGAACCCTCAGACCCATAAGAATACATGCATGGCACCATGGCAGGGAGCATGTCAAAATGGATGTAGTTCCTTTTGGTTTAAATACGTCCAATTCATGAGTTGATGAGCGTGTTCAATCTCCTAAAGTTCACCCCCCCCCCTTTTTCAAAATTTATGTAGAAGAGACATTGTCTTAAGGCCTGAATCATATTTTTCTGATGATTTTCCGCTTCTTAAAGCCCCCAAACTTCGACCCAATGATATCTTGGCGTATGATTGTAAACTTATCCCCAATTTACTGATTTTTATATGATGGAAGAAAAAAAAAAAAAACAGACTGCTAATTCAAGTGAAATCTTGAAGCGCGTGACTCTTAGGGCAAGAAAAACCGAAGCGCCTTCAATGATATGAGTCTGCAATATGGCCAGCCGTTAAGCGCGAATAGTTGCATCCAAGCGTTACTATCCGCATGCTCTCGATTTGATTTTGAATATTCCAAGTATCATTCCTTAACACTTGAGTTAATGATACCCAACATGCAAGACGCTCGTGTTATTATTTTTAATTTGTTTTTCAGTGTTTTGCATCGAAGAAAACCAGCAAACTAATGACAATTTAACCGTGAAAGGTAACATAACTTAGTTTTTGTCCGTCGGAAACAAAAAATTGCATTTGCTATTCGTTGCACTTTCACTCCTGCATTTGTCAAAATTCACTTAATAATTATTATTTAATTATTTCCCCCCTTTTTTAATTATTCATTCATTCCTTCGCCCCCTTCACAAGATATGCTTTATATGCACAGTTTTTGGCAGATTTAGACTGCAAACTATGTGAAATGCGTCTGTTCCTACGAATGGCACCTGATTTTTTTAAGTGCAAAATATTATACATATATATTTTCTCCACATTTAGATATTGAGGGAATCAATTTAAAAGGCTTTTGCATTCTGAACTTTTCTTTAAAACCGGACCTTAAATAAAATACAAATGTCGCCTTCTCATTTTTTTATTCCCCTGCACTTGTCATGGTCACAAGGCTTCTCTCTGATATCGTGAAACTTACTATTTCTTGGACAGCATGTTTTAAAATCTACAAGGTTGCAAGAAAGTTCCTGAAAACAATTTCATTTCGGAAAGATTCGGTCAAATGTGGTTGATTTTTTTGCACCAAGCCTGCACAGCTTTTCAACGGTATTTGCACGATAATGCTGTAGCATTTTTGACTGTTATATGTTTATTTAAAAGTGTATCCTATTTCCTGCCATACGTTCCGGCAAGTCTCATTGTAAGTCAACTGATTAACTGTGCAACTAAGCATAAGAGTGACAGAGTGAAAGAAATGAAAAAAAAAAAACAAAAACTGAAGGTATGCAATTTTGGGACTTTCTTTCGTGTGAAATAGCCCTCTCAGGAAATAGTGAGATCAAAATGCGCGAATGTAGAACAAGCAGTTAGTAAAGTTCCAAAAAAGTGTATCATAGGTGAGCCTAAGGGAGCCCCTCTTAATCCCTACGCCGCCCATACCGCAACAGGAACTTCGCGACCATTAAAAATTCCGATTTATATTTCAAAAGATTGAAAACAACAAGATCGACCAGGTATTATCACCAGCCAATAGCTCATAGCTTACGGAAATCGGCTAGATAGACCTCCAGAAATTACTCGGATAAGAAATGAAAATTTGGAGGATCTGCGAGCTGATTGTTGAAATCGATAGACAAAGCGATAGACAAAGAAGAAAAAATAGTGTTTGACTCGGTTTGTTCCTTTAGACTAAGGTATAAAATGATGGACTAACTATAGGGCCTCTCATAAGTTGCCGTTAGTTAAATTGCCGTTCATAGCTCATGGGATGGCGTAGGACGAGACACAAGTCGGATACTAGAATTAGGAATGCGCCGTAATTAGCATTCACAAACCAATTTTTTATTGGGTTCCGTTCACCACTCTCTTGTAGGAGTGCTTTGGCACCGGCCGGTGAATCCGGTCCTTATCCCGTAATATTTTCCGGGTAATCAAACAGGTATGCTCAGCGATAACCTTCATCATATAATAGACCCGTTTTGTGAGGAACTTGTTTATCCATGACACGCTAAAATCTATCCGAACTGAGTTATGTAGAGGCAAAGACATGAAGAAGCTCCTCAATTATAATGATCTATTTTTTCTCCTCAATATCGTGAGTTTCTCCTTAAAGTATTCCTCGCAAAGTCCTCCAGAGTGAAAAGTCAACAGGAGCAGGTACATACCGCATCAATCAATCCTAACTGTTAAGCCTTACTTGCTTGGTCAGTATCACGGCAAGAAGCTAGAAAGCCATCGATGAAGTGATCGACCTGAAAGACCCGGATATTGATTCCCAACATTGCAGCGTTGACCTTTTTTACTGTGAATTTTTAGGGTAACAATTTGTTTTTAGAGAAAATGGGCCATTAAACAAGGTCGAAGAGACTCCTTGATCATGTTCTTGATCTTATGCATAAATGAACCTCATTTTGCAATTAGGAGCCACAATTTCTGACTCATTTGTAAAATCACGTACATGCATATGAATACGAATGGCACATACGTTGTTCCTAATATATAGGTTAAAATTTCTAAAACAGCAGCCTGTGACAATGGTAATATCAAACACCTAGGAGAAAAAACGGGAAACAGGCTAAAAATTACACATAAAGATCCGAGACGTTTCAGCCCAAAACTGAGCCATTTTTAGTCGAAAGAATAAAAATTCCAAAAATTTTCCAAAATTTCCATCGCTCTTTGTTTTCATTTTTTCGGCCATCATGTAGTCTGTAAGTTTCTATTTGAAATTTTTATATTTTATTTTTATTCTACCGACTGAAAATGGCTCAGTTTTGGGCCGAAACGTCTCGGATTTTTCTGTGTAATATTTAGCCTGTTTCCCATTTTTCTCCTTTTTCATTTGTTGTTCCTAAAGTGAGCTGGAAATTTTAGTTCCCAAATGCAAAGTGTTATCTAAATGATTTACAAAATGAGAAGCTTGGAGATCAATTCCCGATATTCACAAAAAATTCCCGTTTAGTGGCCCGTTGAAATTCATTGGCTCCTTTGATAGCACTAAGGGATTGGATACAAGATTCAACTTACCATATCTTTGTAAAAAACTGAGAGCAGGTTAGTGTCTCCAATTTTGTTTGAAATTAATTGCCTCTAAATCTAACGAGAAGTTCTCTTTAAGGTTGTTCCGGCGGTATATCACGTAATTAAAGGAAATGAGTCCACGCATGCATTTAGTCAAATTTTCCATGTAGAGTTGAATAAGTTAGCGGGATTGCCATGCTTACATGTGAACTTTCATTTTGGATTTTGTGTTCTCGTTCATCTTGATCTTTGAATATAAAATTGACCGAATGCGGAGGTAGCTTTCCTATTATTAAGTATGATACCACCATAGCAGCCTCAATATTGAGAACTTTTTTGTAGTTGGCGGTTGATTTCATAAACTAGTGACCCTATCGTATTATTTTCACGAGATCTGAAATGAAGAAATTGTAAAATCATTTTCCCCGAGCCCTATTGCCATTTATTTTTAGAGCTTTTTGTATAAGCTCTTTCACCCTACTCTGGAGAAAAATGATCGGATTCCCCCATACTCTGACACAGAGTTATGAGTATGGTAATTAACATCAGTTTATACCATACTAAGGCAATATTGAATCCAACTATACCACAGGCGACTTCAAACATTAGCACAGGGAGGGTTCATAAATTACGTAACGCATTTTTTCGGCATTTAATCCCCCCCTCCTTTGTAACGCTTTTGTGACGTGGGACCCTATCCTTTTACTCGCAAAAATAAAAAAGCGTGAAACTCTCCTCGACCCCCCCCCCTCCATCCGAGCGCTACGTTAATTGATGAATGGACTCTCAAAGTGCAATACTGTGTCAAAATTAAGTATCCTTATAATTATTATGTACCATAATTTTTCTTGTGTACAGAAATCAGATCACAGAAAAATGCTCAGAAAAGACATGTACATAGCTTAATATAAAACAAGGAAAACTGTAATTTTTGCACCCGCGATATATTCCAGAACCTTTTGGCTCCAAATACTCTTCCCTATATATCATCTGTAAATTTCATATACTCCCTCTTTTTCTCGCAATCAGTCTACATTATGATATATTCTCAATTCCTCTTTCCACCTACATTTTCGAATTCAAGTATGTAAAAATTTCATACACTTCCGATCTGTGAACATTTTGGGTGTTTCCTGTCCGGTAAATCCTTTGCGATGGACACTGTATTTTTTTTTTTAAATGCCATTTCAAATTTGTATTTTGACGAATGGCTAAATTACCCGTTTGCGTTAACATACGACCTTGAAACCGCGGTAATGAATCAACGGTGTAGGTTTTGCAATATTTGCAGGCTGTCTTACCGGCGATGTATTGCTTGTTATGATGCATTAATAAATTTATCTAAATCTACACGAAGATACCATTGCGTGTGATTCGTTACTCATCGCTGCACAAAATCCCTCTTTCCGTGCACCGAGCACTTGCAATCGACTGCGCAACCTGCAATTATCCTGACAGTTTGCCGTTTAAAATTCCTTTGTCGGAGTTGAAAACATTAATTCAGCGGTTCTTTTTCTTCTCTGATTGAATTTTCAGCGTAAACGTGGTTTTTCCTTTCTTGGACTTTTCATGCATGCATCACGATCATGAGTGATGATATACGATGGTAAGGCATCTTTCACCTCCAGGAAAAGTTCGAGAAATACATCGGCAGAGGTTTCCGCCCTGAGGCCTTTACTCACTCACTGACTGTAGCTGAATAACAAATTTGACGTCATCAGTCACAGGAGATCTAGAGAGTTAAAAAAAAAAAAACCAGATTTCCTGAAAAAGGTGGACACACAGTGAACAATTTTCTGTTGGATCAATAAAAATTCCAATTAATAATTTTCGAATGGGAATTGAGGGGCTTGGAGGACAAGGCGCATAAGTGCCGTTTTTGCTATTTCGAGAAATTGAAGTTTCGAAATTATATGGGTCGTTATGACGGGAAAAAAGTTTAAACTGACTTTTCGATGCTTAAAAATTGGAATTTGGGAGCGAATTTTTTAAAGATGAAGATTAGTTTAATTTGACATCATTAATATTTGTATTAATATTTTTTTCAAAAACTGCACTTCTGCGCCTTGTCCTCCACAATTCTAGTTGAGTCGACAGGAGATCTTCATGTTTCGAATTGGTTTATCTGTCATTTCAAAATGACATCCTGTCACTTGACAGAGATTTTCGGTTGCTTCAAAGAGACAATATTCGTCCGGGAATAATTCACTGAAAAATGTTTCGCAGTGCATTCGAAAGATTTTAGAACTGAAATATGCTCAGGTCGGAAAAAAAGGTATGCTCAGGTCGGTTTTCAAAAATTCCACCGATTTGAATTTTTATTAGTGTACTCTCCGTGCTTATCGATATTCTTACGCGTGAATTTCACACTTCACAGGGTTTCCGAAGCTCTTAGGGTTCGAGGTGAATCTTGATTTTCTTTTTTACTTAGCAGAATTTTGAGAAACCACTTTGAATTCACTTCGTTATTCCTTAATTTTTGGTCTGAAAGTATGAGTATTCTTTCAGAACGTGACCTAG